TACCTTTTTAAAAATTTGAGTGCCAACAATGGCAAAATAATTTTACTAGACACTCTCTATCTCGTTCTATCCAGTTCTCCTAATTATGTTTTTGCTTAGATTTACTCCGGTCCATGGACATAATGGAATACTGGTTGTATCGGAATTGTGCACTTGTCTATTATTTGTGACATTGTCTATTAATATTTTTTTATGATTAATCTATTTCTCGGCAATACATATTCACAACTTTTTATTGGTTCATCCGCAAAAAAAATTATTGGTTGATGCCTCTTGTACTCACACTGCATTTGTATTCGTAATTATAATGACATGGAAGGAACACAATTATTTGTATTTACAGATATAATGTCATGAAAACAGTGCAGACAAAAACTTTGTTTAATTTTTCCTTTTTCCAGATCAACTTACGAGCAGTGGCATGTGAGGGATGAAATTCATATCAAATGTCATACAAGGAACTTCAAAAAATTTGATGGCTTGTAAGGCATCACATATTGTTATCTTGAATTGTTCGAGGGTGTAAATTTGAATCATAATTTTATTTAGAGGGTCAAACGGAATAGTATTAAAATAATACTATCAGACCTATTATCAAAACTAAACTTTGCAGTCTCGTTAGCCACCATAGTGTCCCTCATGTTCATCTTCAATATCTTTATATCCACCATCAGCTTAGACACATTCAATGCATCCTTCTTTAAATCCATCAGAGTAGGCCTGTCAACATACTCCTTTCCAAACACAGAAGCCCCAAAAGAACTGTCAGTTTTCAAAATAACGGGCTTGTCAAGAGTGGTACCAATATACAGGCCGGATTGCTCTTAGTTTCGCTTCCTTGATGCTATGGCAAGCTCCAATGTAATCCCAAGAGGAGATGATAACTTGTGGGAATTATTGAGGAGAGTAAAAATAGGCTTCCTCCATTTAAATTGTGGAACTTAATAGGCGCATCCTCGGAAGAACCAAAACAAGAGGAATAACATTCTCAGCTGCGGGCCAAGTGACAGTATGGTCGCAGTGAAGCCTAGGTTGCTTTATCGAATTCTAGGGTGTGTTTTGTTTTGGGACAAGGTGGAACCAGGCGAAGACGGGACGATCCCAGATAGTGTTTAGGCCTCCTTTGGTTCATAGGGTAGGAAAACTATAGGAATAAAAAAGTCATAGAAAATAAGAGATGACATGCATCTCAAATCCTATAAGTAGTAATAGGAAAGGAGATGTCATTTGTTTTACATCATAAGATTTTTTCCATTGAGTCTAGGTTAATATTTATTTTCCTATGAAATGTGAAGGATATGAAGATTTCCTTCATAGGAATAGGATTTCATTCCTACAAACCGAAGAGTTCTATAGGAATTTCTTTTTTAAAAATCCTATCATATGAAATTCCTATAAAATTCCTTCAAGAGACATGACCGTCCTTGGAGAGATGAAGCAGGGATGGGATGAATCCTATATAACGTCAGCCCGTCTTGTAGGCATTTCATCGAGTATCATGCCTAAGCTCAACAGCTCGTCCAGCCCGTGCAATGGCGAGGTCAGGTCCTCCTGGCGACCAAGGCGCGTGGGCAGGGACGTAACAAGGTTGAACGCCGGCTCCTCGTCCGGGGCGGGCTCCAACGCGCGCCCCACCGGCCGGAGAGAGAGGACGCGATGAGGGCCACGACGAGGAGGTGGAGGCTGGCAACCTTGCCGCACGTGCTCTTGGCGCTGCCACGCCGCCATGCCTTGCCGCTGAACATCGCCAGCTCGATCGCCGATCCGGCTGCAGTCGCGTTTTGGGAAGGAGAGGAACACAGAGGACCAGCGTGACATCGCCCGCCCGGCCCACATGGCCGCGCCACCCTGCCTTGCCACACGCGCTCGACACAGCCACTCGCTTCTTGCTGAGCCGCTTGACACAGCCGAATTTCGGGGGCCCTGCTTGGGTTGTCCCACTCCATCTCGCCTCTGAATCAAACATCACGAAAAATGGAATGGGACCGTCCTGTCTCGTCGGGGGACATGACTCAAATCAAACACAGGCTAAGAACTGTGGACCAGCACGTCTACTCTAGTGCTGTTGAGGCAACAGAAATTTCTATCTGTTATTGGGCCACATCAGCACGTAGGACTTGTACGTAGGTCTAACATTGCTCATTCAGGAATAACATAAGGTTCAACTCAGCAAATTTGATTATGTGACAATGATTTAATAATGAGAGATGATTTAAGTAACATAACTAGTTACTCATACTATGAATAACATCACACATACCAACACAAGATAAGTCTATAAGCTAATAAATTAAGTTACTAATCTAAGTCACTCCCCACTATAAAGATAGTACTCCCTGTAGTGTCAAAAAGTCTCTTATATTATGGGCACTTCTGCTTCGGTACACCCCCCTTAAACATAAGAACGGCTCAGATTAGCCCATTACCTCTTTATAAGTAAAGGCATGATGGTCATAATTTATAAACTCTTCATGTATATGCTGTTTTTTTTGACAAACACGTATACCCTGTACATGAACGGACGTGCACACCGTGCTCCTCCTCGTCCGGGGCGGGCTCCAACGCGCGCCCCACCGGCCGGAGAGAGAGGACGCGATGAGGGCCACGACGAGGAGGTGGAGGCTGGCAACCTTGCCGCACGTGCTCTTGGCGCTGCCACGCCGTCATGCCTTGCCGCTGAACATCGCCAGCTCGATCGCCGATCCGGCTGCAGTCGCATTTTGGGAAGGAGAGGAACACAGAGGACCAGCGTGACATCGCCCGCCCGGCCCACATGGCCGCGCCACCCTGCCTTGCCACACGCGCTCGACACAGCCACTCGCTTCTTGCTGAGCCGCTTGACACAGCCGAATTTCGGGGGCCCTGCTTGGGTCGTCCCACTCCATCTCGCCTCTGAATCAAACATCACGAAAAATGGAATGGGACCGTCCTGTCTCGTCGGGGGACATGACTCAAATCAAACACAGGCTAAGAACTGTGGACCAGCACGTCTACTCTAGTGCTGTTGAGGCAACAGAAATTTCTATCTGTTATTGGGCCACATCAGCACGTAGGACTTGTACGTAGGTCTAACATTGCTCATTCAGGAATAACATAAGGTTCAACTCAGCAAATTTGATTATGTGACAATGATTTAATAATGAGAGATGATTTAAGTAACATAACTAGTTACTCATACTATGAATAACATCACACATACCAACACAAGATAAGTCTATAAGCTAATAAATTAAGTTACTAATCTAAGTCACTCCCCACTATAAAGATAGTACTCCCTGTAGTGTCAAAAAGTCTCTTATATTATGGGCACTTCTGCTTCGGTACACCCCCCTTAAACATAAGAACGGCTCAGATTAGCCCATTACCTCTTTATAAGTAAAGGCATGATGGTCATAATTTATAAACTCTTCATGTATATGCTGTTTTTTTTTGACAAACACGTATACCCTGTACATGAACGGACGTGCACACCGTGCTCCTCCTCGTCCGGGGCGGGCTCCAACGCGCGCCCCACCGGCCGGAGAGAGAGGACGCGATGAGGGCCACGACGAGGAGGTGGAGGCTGGCAACCTTGCCGCACGTGCTCTTGGCGCTGCCACGCCGCCATGCCTTGCCGCTGAACATCGCCAGCTCGATCGCCGATTCGGCTGCAGTCGCGTTTTGGGAAGGAGAGGAACACAGAGGACCAGCGTGACATCGCCCGCCCGGCCCACATGGCCGCGCCACCCTGCCTTGCCACACGCGCTCGACACAGCCACTCGCTTCTTGCTGAGCCGCTTGACACAGCCGAATTTCGGGGGCCCTGCTTGGGTTGTCCCACTCCATCTCGCCTCTGAATCAAACATCACGAAAAATGGAATGGGACCGTCCTGTCTCGTCGGGGGACATGACTCAAATCAAACACAGGCTAAGAACTGTGGACCAGCACGTCTACTCTAGTGTTGTTGAGGCAACAGAAATTTCTATCTGTTATTGGGCCACATCAGCACGTAGGACTTGTACGTAGGTCTAACATTGCTCATTCAGGAATAACATAAGGTTCAACTCAGCAAATTTGATTATGTGACAATAATTTAATAATGAGAGATGATTTAAGTAACATAACTAGTTACTCATACTATGAATAACATCACACATACCAACACAAGATAAGTCTATAAGCTAATAAATTAAGTTACTAATCTAAGTCACTCCCCACTATAAAGATAGTACTCCCTGTAGTGTCAAAAACTCTCTTATATTATGGGCACTTCTGCTTCGGTACACCCCCCTTAAACATAAGAACGGCTCAGATTAGCCCATTACCTCTTTATAAGTAAAGGCATGATGGTCATAATTTATAAACTCTTCATGTATATGCTGTTTTTTTTTTGACAAACACGTATACGCTGTACATGAACGGACGTGCACACCCTGCCGCGGGCTGGCCCATTCAGCCTTCCTTTTTTATGAAAAGGCAAAAAATCATGCGTCCTGCAGTATTGATCCTAGGTCCTCCAGGAACTAGCACACCCGCACTAACCACCTCAGCAATAGGAATTCACGTGTTGTGTACATTTTTTAATACTTAAAATAGGATACTGGAAAAGCGGAACATTTTCTGTTGGGTATTTTCTTCTTGTTTTTTTTTCTTAAATGCGTGAAGTTTTTATAATTAGTGATTTTTTTTTCGAAAATGACGACAAAATTTCAAATTCTTGAATTTTTCTTCCAAATCAGTGAACTTTTTTTCCCCAAAATTGATCGGTTCTCTTCTCAAATTCGTGAACTATTTCGCAAATTGGCGATTTGTTTTTGAAAATTGTTGAACTTTTTTATAAAATTGATGAACTTTGTTTCTAAATCAATGTTTTTTTTCAAATTTGTGTTTTTTCCCAAATCAATGAACTTTCCTTCAAAATTGATAAACTTATTTTGATTTTTTGATGAACTTTTTTCAAAATCAATAAAAGAAAAGAAAAACAAAATAATATAAAAACCCATGTAAAAACTGAAGAAAAAACCAGCCCGATTGAAAAGGAAAACCAAAGTCTTTTTTAGTGTTATATTTGACGCACTACAAAAGATGGAAAAAGAAAAACTTAGACCATGATCAACAGAGGTGTTCGAGTAGGCGAGGTGGCTCCATATAAGAGCATGTCGTTTCCCGACATGCTTGAAATGGCCCATATTTTTTTTTGATGCCTTGTATGACCAATTCAAGGCACCATGCCAAGTTGTTTTGCTTTTCCGCAAGTTTTGCATTTTTCAGAGTTTTCTCGGTAAAAAACGCCCGATAAATGGGCGGACATGTCACAACTTGCATACTGTGTTAGAAATCGTTCAAACCTGGCATGGATGACTACCATGGTCATGCCCACCAGGTTGGAAAGGTTGGGGTCATTTTAAGAATGTCCAAAAGTAGCCCATGTTTAATGGATGATGTTCGGGTTGGCTAGAAGACTCTACTTGAGGGTATATTGTTTCTCAACATCCTTCAAATGGCCTAATTTTTCCCACCTCCTTCTATGATTAAATCAAGGCACCATGTCAAGCTATTTAAGTTTTTGATAATTCTTGCATTTTTTAGAGTTTTCTCGGTGAAAACTGGCTTATAAATGCCCGGACGTGACACAACATGCATATGTTGTGGGAAATTCATTCAAACCTAACATGGAGCCTACCATGGGCATGCCAGCCTACTGGAAAAGGTTGGGATCATTTCATGCATGTCCAAAAATATATCATGTTCAACAGAGGATGTTCAGGTAAGCGAGAAGCGTCCATTTGAGGGCATGTTTTTGCGGCATCCATTAACTCACCCTAAATCTTTCCATGATCTTATATGATCGATTAAATGCACCATGCCAAGTTGTTTTGGTTTTCGACAAATTTGATCTTTTCTGGACTTCTCTCCGTTAAAAAAGGCAGCTAAATGATAGGATGTGTCGCAACTTGCATATTTTGTCGGAAATCGTTCAAACCTGGCATGGATCCTTACCATGGGCATGCCCCCTGCCTGCAAAAGTTTGGGTCATTTAAATTTTTTTCAAAACTAGACCATGTTCAATGAAGGGTGCACCCGGATGGGCATGCCCATGGTAGGCAACCATGCTAGGTTTAACAATTTCCGACACCATATGTAAGTTGCGACATGTTCGACTATTTTATCGGTCTTCTTTTACTAAGAAAACTCCAAAAAATGCAGAACTTGTTTAAAATTTTGGTCTTTTATAAAAAAACTGTTCGTGTTTTGACATTCTGAGCAAGTTTGAAAGGCATGAACATTTTTTTTTTGAAATTTATGTACAATTTTAAAAAAACAAATATTAGTCTTTTATGAACAAAACAGGAAAACTAGAAACCGTAACAAAAACCGTGCAAAAAAAACATAAACCAAAGAGTGAAGGTGCTGTGTTTTTTTTCTTGGCGTTGTGTCTCTCCAACAAGAAGAAGAAAACAAGATTAGTAAGCATATCAGATGTGGTAGCCCAGATGGATCCATTTTTGATGATTAAAACTAAAAAAGCTAAATGGCCTCATTAAAACTAAAAAAGCTAAATGGGCTGAGCCCATGTGGGAGGGCTGTTCGCTGGGTATTATACGAACCTACAACGTAGTAAGCCACGTACGGGCTGGTCGGGAGTGGAGACGACGATCACTGCTTGCAGGGCGGAAGCGGACTTCCACACAGCCCCTTGTTGTGCTGGAAGCAGGACTGGTCAAACCAGGCCATGTTGCCACCGGCGGGCACCACGCCGCCGAGGCGATTGTAACTCACGTTCAAATAATTCAGCATCATGTCGACCACCATTTCCGGGATTTCGCCGTAGATCTCGTTGTGGCTCAGCTCCAAGCTGTTGAGGCCCTCGGGCAGCTGCACGGCGGAGAGGTTGAAGCTGAACGCATTGTGCGACAGGTCCAGGTTCAGCAGCGGCTTGTTCGCGCCCAACAGGAACGAGGCTTCGCCCTGGAACCCGTTATACGACAGGTCGATGGTCCAGAAATTCACAGCGGCGAACTCGGCCGGGACGCCGCCGGTGAGCTTGTTGTGGGAGAGGTAGAGGTATGAGCCCTTCCTGAGGAGCTGAGGCGGTATCGTGCCCGTGAGGTGGTTATAGCCGAGGTCGAGGAAGTAGAGGTTGGGCATGTCCCCGAGCGACGCCGGGATTGGGCCCGTGAGCTTGTTGGAGGAGAGGCTGAGGTAGCCGCGCGCCGTGATCTCCGACAGGAACGACGGCACCGGGCCGGAGAATATTAAATAACTTCATCAGCTGATCCATACATCACAAAGCAATCCGCAAGACAGCTCGCGCCCAAGCCCATGCGCAAAGGCCTCGCTTCTGCCGTCCTGCTAGTCCCCTGGATGCTTTGGAAGCACCGCAACGACTGCGTCTTCAATCATGGCCGCCCCCTCATTGCTGACTTGCTCACAAAGATCAAGGAGGAGGCCACCCTTTGGGCTGCCGCTGGCGCGTTAGGGCTTAGAGCCATCATCCCACAAACCTAGGATGTCCATTGACTATCATCACCCCGAAATGTAACCGCCTCCCAGGAGGATTGTAACTATTAAACCCTCTTCTTTTTAATACAATGAAACGCAAGCTCTTTTGCATTTTCTCTAAAACAAGCTTAAAATTTGTCACCGCCTCCCCTGAAATGCATTATTTTTCCTCCCATAAAAGAGTGCAAACAGACACTGAGACACCGTCGAGAACGACAAGTGACATGTAAAGGCACTGATGGTTGGGCACGTTTTGCAGCTGAACTAGGCCTCACACTGACCGACTCGCTGGTGAAGTTCTCCCCCACCCACACCATACGGTGGTCTCTGGAGTATGACTCAAAAATCGTCTAGCAATTACGGTAAATACCTGAGAAATATATCAAGTATCTTCATCAGCTGATCCATAAATCACAGGTCAGATTCCATAAGAATTAGCTTGAAAAATATAATAAATATAATTAACAAACCAACACAGTGAATTAAGATGCTCTGAAGAAAGTACAGGGCAGGCATAAATGCCGTGAATTCACCAAACTGTTCAATTGTTTCCACCAATGATAGATAATATGGACTGGACTGCTGCGATCAGGCACATATTTCTTGAAGCAGGAGAAAAAATCATGCTGGCATAAAAAATTTGAAGCGGGAGAAAAAATCATGCTAGCATGAATGACCCGTTGCTCTTCTTTTATTTATATCTAACAAACTTAAATACGCGTCACACACAGATGCAAGATTTAACCCATATATGAGAGGAGAGTCATCACAGAGACTCAATACTAATTAATACTACGTACTAACATGACTAGTTTGGAGTGCCATGATATTGTTGTTCGAGTGAATTCCACTTTTTACCCCATATTTATACATTTGTGACACTAATTACCCCTTCGAGTGAAAATTCGTCTAGAATGCCCCTTTTGAAATCTTTGGACCCTTGTTTTTTGATGCGTGTCCATCAGGTAAGGTGTGAGGTGACGCCCTGTATCCAAAAACATGTCGACGGCCACAAGGAGTGGAACAGATAGGCAAGAGAAGCTTGGACAAGATCGCCAATGATGCCCTCCGATCCTTACAGTTTTTTGTACGAATCAATGACGCAACATGCCGATCCTATCGACCATAAACAAACAAAATGTAAAACTGGGGTAAAACCGTGTTAAAAGTCTCCAAAATCTGACATTTCGATAAAAGTTCCGCTAAATAGGGTAATATGTGTCACAAATGTACAACTACAAGGTAAAAAATGGAATTCACTCTTGTTGTTCCTGTGCTAATTTGAGCAGTGACTAGTGCTAAAGAACGAATCGATTGAGTGGAACAAGTGATCCGCCTATATAAATATTTGAACATTGCATGCGGTCCTACTACCCTGACCTTGAAAAGAAATACTTTCATGTCTTGGCACCAAAGTAATAAACTTTCATGTCTTGGCACCAAAGTAATAGCTCAACTTTTCTCTAACCATTATTATACTTCTCTCGATATATATACATAGAGGCATCCATCAGATCATAATACTCCCTCCGTCCCATAATATAAGATGTTTTTGCAATCTGTTTTAGCTTGCGAAAAATTGTGGGACAGAGGGAGTAGTTGGCATTTGCAGCAGCTAGTGGATAAAGAAGATAGTTTGATGGTGCAGGTAAGTATGGCATGTGCAAACACTTGTATGATGTACATGAACTGCTATTGTACAGAACATATTTGCATAGCACATACACCAATAAATAAGCATCAGTGGGCAGAACATCAAAAACTGAAATTCATACAACAAGAATCCCTAAGCAGAGATAAGAAAATCAGCTCATGTTCATTAAAGAACTAAACCACTGTACTGTATCACATCAACATGATCTGCTAATGTGCAGAACACATTTTCAACACACATACAACTTGGTAATATGCTGCTCACATGAGCACAACACACACACATGGGTTAGAGATGAACATAGACCACCTACATCAGAAGAGAATTGCTAGAGGCAAAGAGAGGAGGTCACCGTGGCTGTTTTTGTAGCCGATGCCGAACCCACCGCTGCCGCCATCGCACGGAAGCAGCAGCGCCAAGGTACCTGGCACGCTGAAGGTCTTTGTCGTCTGCATCGGTTCGGTGATGGTGTTGTACCAAACCGAATCCTGCCACACAAGGACAGGAGAAATAACAAGTTAATTTGACATATATGCTTGTCATTGAGAAGTACTCCCTCCGGCCCATAATATAAGATGTTTTTTGGCACTACTACACTAGTGTAAGAAAACGTCTTACATTATGGGATGGAGGGAGTAACAAATTAAGCAAGCTGAGGTTTCTTTGTTACTTATATAAGTGGTCCTAAAAGTGTTCCGGTAAATAAGCTAAGCAACATGTAGCAAGTTTATTTGATTGCTTTACGTTGATTACACACACCAGTAAAATTTGATTGCTTAGCTTTGCACACAACAAGATTTGATAGCTTTGCATCAGTTACAAACACAAATACACCGAAAACCGAGCAGTGGCACGGTAGGCAGGACAAGTGAGCATTCTTGCATCTGCATCAACTAAGTAACTCGCTAGGGTGGTTTGATTAGCAGCAGCAGAACACCTTCCAAACTTCTAATCTAATCCCTAATTAGATTCGATGTTCCAAACTTGTGAGCCACATGGGCACATACTGGAATATGCTCTAGCATGCTTGAATCAGAAAGAGCAAAAAGAAAGAAAGAAATTGCATTGAACAGGGAGAGGAGAGGGGAGGTGGACCTTCCAGGCTTCCATGGACGGGAGAGGTGTTAACAGGCCACGCAGAGAAGGAGCAAACCCTGAGCTTGCTGTGGGCGTCGTCCTGGTGGGGAAGGAGCGGACCACGAGCAGCATCCATTGCTTCGTCCTGCTCGCTCACACCTATAGAGATGAGAGCACAGTGAGAGTGAGCAGAGGAGAACTCCATGGACGAACACATTTGCAAAAGACATACACTTGGTAATTTCTTGCTCAAATGAGCACAACACACACACATGGACATGGGCAATCTTCTCACATCTAAAAACTGAAAGATAATGAATAGGTTGCAATCATGCATCTTAGTGGAACCAAGCAATAGAAAACAAGTTCAGTTGCATTGTGCCTTTTGATAGATGTACGGTTTGCATCAGAAACTATGCACGGAGCATCAAACCATGGAATTTCATCTGAGCTAAAAATAAATCCTACAGAGGCAAAACATGCTGGAAGAAAATTTGAACCCTAGCCCAACTCATGACTGACTTAAAGTTCCAAAGCTGCAAGAGGGCTTGAAGGTTGCACGCACATAACTGACTGTGCGTCTATATTATATTCAGTATAGAAGACAGGAAAGTTTGAACACCAACTGAAAACTGTTATAGCTCAAAGATTTGAAGGAAGTTAGATTCTCATAGCTCAGAACTGAGAAAATAATGACTAGGACCCACTGTATGTACCTAGTCACCGCAGCAGTTCAAGTATTTGTGACACCACGAGCTAGGGGGCCCTGCTTGGGTCGTCCCACTCCATCTCGCCTCTGAATCAAACACCACGAAAAATGGAATGGGACCGTCCTGTCTCGTCCGGGGACATGACTCAAACCAAACACAGGCTGAGAACTGTGGACCAGCACGTCTGCTGTAGTGCTGTTGAGGCAACAGAAATTTCTATCTGTTATTGGGCCACATCAGCACGTAGGACTTGTACGTAGGTCTAGCATTGCTCATTCAGGAGTAATATAAGGTTCAACTCAGCAAATTGCTTATGTGACAATGATTTAATAGTGACATGACTCAAACCAAACACAGGCTGAGAACTGTGGACCAGCACGTCTGCTGTAGTGCTGTTGAGGCAACAGAAATTTCTATCTGTTATTGGGCCACATCAGCACGTAGGACTTGTACGTAGGTCTAGCATTGCTCATTCAGGAGTAATATAAGGTTCAACTCAGCAAATTGCTTATGTGACAATGATTTAATAGTGAGAGATGATTTGAGTAACATAGCTAGTTACTCATACTATGAATAACATCACACATAAAAAAAAGGGCAACCTGGTGCATGTAGCTCCCGCTTGCGCAGGGTCCAGGGAAGGGTCCGACCACTTTGGGTCTATAGTACGCAGTCTTTCCCTACATTTCTGTAAGAGGCTGTTTCCAGGACTTGAACCCATGACCTCATGGTCACAAGGCAGTAGCTTTACCACTGCGCCAAGGCTCCCCTTCGAATAACATCACACATACCAACACAAAATAAGTCTATAAGCTAATAAATTAAGTTACTAATCTAAGTCCCTCCCCACTATAAAGGTAGTAACATAGACTAGTAACATATGCATGTTACTACTCTAAGTTACTCTCCACTATGAGTAGTCTAACAAGCAGCTGGCTAATCCAACTGATGAAAACACGCAGTAAACAGTAGTAGAAAAAGCCACAGGGATGCTATCCTTTATTTCTTATATGATAATAAAGTTGTAATTATCCATCCATCAGATTACAGCCGGACGTACGGGTTGGTCGAGAGTGGAGACGACGACCACTGCTTGCAGGGTGGAAGTGGACTTCCACACAGCCCCTTGTTGTGCTGGAAGCAGGACTGATCAAACCAGGCCATGTTGCCACCGGCGGGCACCACGCCGCTGAGGCGATTGTAGC